AATCAATCCAGCAGCTGCTAGATGATGCAAAGAAGAATAACATAAGACTGATTGGGCTCAATGAAGAAACAGGAGAGAGTGGAGATGACATAAAAAAACTCTTCACAGAAGTAATGGCAGAAAACTCCCAATCAGGGGCAAAGAACTTGACATACAGATAAGTGAGGCATATGGGACTCCAACTAGCCTTGATCAAAAAACAATCTACACATAGGCATATAATTGTTAAGATTCCAGATACCCAACAGAAGAACAAAGTTCTACAAGCAGTTAGAGAAAAGAAACAAATTACATACAAAGGAAAGCCCATCAGAATTATAGCAGACTTCTCAACACAAACCCTCAAGGCAAGAAGAGCTTGGAGGGACATATTTAAAGCCCTAAAGGAAAACCGCCTCCAACCCAGATTGATATACCCTGCAAAACTATCTTTCAAAATTGATGGAGAAATAAGATACTTTCATGACAAAGGGCACCTGAGGAACTTCATGAATATCAAACCAGCACTCCAAAGAATTTTAGACAATACCCTAGGAAAAGACAATGAGGATCACAACCCAGGAAGCCCAGCAGAATGAATAACCAGGCACAACAAGAAATTAAACGCAAAAGGGGAGAATCCACCAAAAAGAAAGTCATGACAATGATAGGTCAATATGTATTAGTTATAATCATCAATGTTAATGGTCTTAATTCAGCAATCTGAAGAAACAGACTGGCGGAATGGGTCAAGAGGCAAGACCCAACAATATGCTGCATACAAGAAACATACTTAAATCAGAAGGAGACTCACAGACTGAAAGTTAAGGGATGGAAAGCAATACTCCATGCAACAGGAACCCCCCAAAAAAGCAGGAGTAGCTATCCTCTTTGTAGATCAAGTGGATTTCAAACTAAAATCTGAAACACTTCTGGTGTTCAGAATTTCAGATAAGGGATAGTCAACTTCTATGTACAAATCTATTGTGAATATGTGTTTTCATTTCTCTTAAGTAAAACTTAAGAACAGAACTGTTGGTTCTAAACAGTAATACAAGAAATTTCTACATTGTTTTCCAAAATGGTTTTATCATTTTACGTTCACATTAGCAGTATTAGAAAGTTCTAACTGGTTCACACCTAAGCTGACATTTATTCTTTTAAAACTTTTAACTTACTCTCCCTAATGAGTGTATAATATGATCTTGTTATTGTACTGATTAGTATTTTTCTGATTCTAG